TGTCCTTTGTAGGGACATGGATAAACCTGGAAACCATCATTCTCAGCAAACTGACACAAGAACAGAAAATTAAGCACTGCATGTTCTTACTCATAGGTGGCTGTTGAACAATGAGAACACATGGAAACAGGGTGGGGAGCATCACACACTGGGATCTGTTTGGGGGGAATAAGGGAAGGACAGTGAGGGGTAGGGAGCTGAAAATTAACATGTTCCTGAATGGAACATGGAAATTAACATGTTCCTGAATAACCACAGGTCAATTAAGAAATTTTTTAAACTAAAAAAACTTTTTTAATTAAAAATATCTCAAGTGAAAAAGATGGAAACACTGCACACCAAAACTTATGAGATGTAACAAAAGCAGTGGAAAGTTTACAGCAATAAATACTATATAAAAATGAAAAATCTCAAACATATTGCACCTCAATAAACTAGAAAAATAAGAACACCTTAGGCCCAAAAGTTAAGAACTCTCACAGAGTTTATTTCACTCCATGCTACCTCTACCAGAACAGATGCTAGTATCCATGGCTGACAGACCCATAGACGGTTCACACCACAGGACTCTGTGCAAACAACACCCAGTACCAGCCCAGAGCCTGAGACTTGCTGGGTGGCTAGACTCAGAAAAGAAATAAAAATTACTGCAGTTCAGCTCTCAGGAAGCCACATCCATAGGAAAAGGGGTAGAGTACTACATCAAAGGAGCATCGCATGGGACAAAATAATCTGAACAACAGCCTTCAGCCCTAGACCTTCCCTCTGACAGAGTCTACCCAAATGAGAAGGAACTGGAAAATGAACTCTGGTAATATGACAAAACAAGGCTTTGTAACACTCCCAAAAAATTACACTAGCTCACTAGCAATGGATCTAACCAAGAAGAAATTCCCATTTATCTGAAAAAGAATTCAGAAGGCTAATTATTAAGCTAAGCAGGGAGGTACCAGAGGAAGGCAAAGTCCAATGCAAGGGAATTAAAAAGAAAAAAAAAAGATACAAGAAATAAGGGGAGAAATGTTCAAGAAAATAGATAGCATCAAGAAAAAATAGTCAAAACTTTTAAAAACATTGGACACACTTAAAGAAATGCAAAATGCTCTGGGAAGCCCCAGCATTAGAATTGAACAAGTAGAAGAAAGAAATTCAGAGCTTGAAGATAAGGTCTTCAAATTAACTCAGTTCAACAAAGGGAATGAAAAAAGAATTAAAAAATACGAACAGAGCTTTGAAGTCTGGGATTATGTTAAACAACCAAACTTAAGAATAATTGGCATTCTTGAGGAAGAAGAGATATCTAAAATTATGGAAAATATATTTGGGGAAATTATTGAGGAAAACATCCCCGGCCTTGCTAGATACATAGACACTCAAATACAAGAAGCACAAAGAACACCTGAGAAATTCATCACAAAAAAGATCATAGCCTAGGCACATTGTCATCAGGTTGTCTAAAGTTAAGATGAAAGAATCTTAAGAGCTATAAAACAAAAGCACCAGGTAACCTATAAAGGAAAACCTATCAGATTAACAGCAGATTTCTCAACAGAAATCCTACAAGCTAGAAGGAGTTGGGGCCCTATCTTCAGCCTCCTCAAACAAAACAATTATCAGCCAAGAAATTTGTATCTAGGGAAACTAAGCATCATCATGAAGGAAAGATATAGTGTTTTTCAGATAAACAAATGCTGAGAGAATTCACCACTACCAAGCCACCACTATAAGAAATGCTAAAGGGAGCTCTAAATCTTGATACAAATCCTGGAAACACATCAAAACATAACCTCTTTAAAGCATAAATCTCAGAGGATCTATAAAACAAAAATGCAATTTAAACAGCAATAACAAAAAACCAAGGTACACAGGCAACAAACAGCACGATGAATGGAATGGCACCTCACATCTCAATACTAATATTGAATATAAATGGCCTAAATGCTCATGGATGAGCCTGGAAACCATCATTCTCAGCAAACTGACAGAAGAACAGAAGATCAAACACCATATGTTCTCACTCATAGACGGGTGTTGAACAATGAGATCACATGGACACAGGGAGGGAGCACTACACACTGGGGTCAGTTGGGGGGAAATAGGGGAGGGACAGTGGGGGGTGGGGAGTTGGGGAGAGATAGCAAGGGGAGAGATGCCAGATGTAGGTGATGGGGAGGAAGGTAGCAAATCACACTGCCACGTGCGTGCCTATGCAACAATCTTGCATGTTCTTCACATGTACCCCAAAACCTAAAATGCAATAAAATAAATAAATGGGGGAAAAAAAAGATATAGAACTGCAGAATGGATAAGAGCTCACCAACCAACTAGCTGCTGCCTTCAAGAGACTCACCTGTCACCTAAAGGACTCACATACATTTAAAGGTGTAGAAAAGGGCATTTCATGCAAACTGACACCAAAAGCAAGCAGAGGTAGCTATTCTTATATCAAACAAAAAAAACTTTAAAGCAACAGCGGTTAAAAAAGACAAAATGGGATATTGTATAATGGTAAAAGGCCTTGTCCAACTAGGAAAATAACACAATTCTAAATATATATGCACTTAACACCGTAGAGTCCAGATTTAGAAAACAATTAATAATAGACCTAAGAAATGAGATGGACAGCATATAATAGTGGGGGACTTTAATAATCCACTGATAGCACTAGGCAGGCTATCAAGCCAGAAAGTCAACAAAGAAATAATGGACTTAAGCTATACCTTGGAAAAATGCACTTAACAGACATATACAGAATATTTCAACCAACAACCACAGAATACACATTCTATTCAACAGCACATGGAACTTTCTCCAAGATAAACCATATGATAGGCCAAAAAATGAGCCTCAATAAATTTAGGAAAATTGAAATTATATCAAGCACTCTCTCAGAACACATTAGAATAAAACTGGAAACCAACTCCAAAAGGAACCTTCAAAACCATGCAAATACATGAAAATTAAATAATCTTTTCATGAATGAGCATTGGATCAAAAATTAAATCAAGATGGAAATTTAACGATGCTTCAAACTGAAGAATGACAATAGGGATACAACCTACCAAAAGCTCTGAGAAACAGCAAAGGCGGTGCTAAAAGGAAAGTTCATAGCCCTAAACACCCACATCAAAAAGACTGAAAGAGCACAAATTGACATTCTAGGGTCACATCTCAAGGAACTAGAGAAACAAGAAAAACTCAAACCCAAATCCAGTGGAAGAAAGGAAATAACCAAGATTAGAGCAGAACTATATGAAATTGAAAAAAAAAAATACAAAAGATAAATGAAACAAAAAGCTGGTTCTTTGAAAAGATAAATGAAATTGATAGATCATTAGCAAGATTAACCAAGAAAAGAGAAAATCCAAACAACCTCAATAAGAAATGAAATGGAACATGTTACAACTGACACAATAGATCATTCAAGGCTACTATGAACACCTTTATGCACATAAACTGGAAAACCTTGAAGAGAAGGATAAATTCCTGGAAAAATACAACTATTCTGGCTTAAATCAGGAAGAATTAGACACACTAAATAGACCAATAACAAGCAGTGAGATTGAAATGGTAATTTTAAAAATACCAACAACAAAAAAATAGTCCAAGACCAGATGGAGTCATAGCAGAATTCTACAAGACATTTAAAGAAGAATTGGTACCAATCATTTTGACATTATTCCACAAGATAGAGAAAGGGGCAACCCTCTTTAATTCATTCTATGAATCCACCATCACCCTAATACCAAAACTAGGAAAGAAAATAACTGAAAAAGAAAATTGAAGGCTGATACCCTTGATGAACATAGATGCTAAAATCCTTAGCAAAATACTAGCTAACTGAATCCAGCAACATATCAAAAAGATAATTCACCATGATCAAGTGGGTTTCATACCAGGTATACAGGGATGATTTAACATACACAGGTCAATGAATGTGATATGCTACATAAACAGAATTACAAATTAAAATCACATGATTATCTCAATAGATGCAGAAAAAGCAATAGGCCAAATCTAGCATCAATTTATGATTAAGACTCTCAGCAAAACTGGCATACAAAGGGCATACCTGAATGTAATAAAAGCCATCTATGACAAACCCACAGCCAACATAATACTGAAAATGGAAAAGTTGAAAGCATTTCCTCTGAGAACTGGAACAAGACAAAGATGCCACTCTCACCACTTCAACATAGTACTGGAAGTCCTAGCCAGAGCAATCAGATGGGAGAAAGAAATAAAGGGCATCCAAATCAGTAAAGAGGAAGTAAAACTGTCACTGACTGCTGACAATATGATTGTTTGCCTTGAAAACCCTAAAGACTCCTCCAGAAAGCTCTAGAGCTTACAAAAGAATTCAGTGAAGTTTCTGGAAATGATATTAATGTACATAAATCAGTAGCTCTTCTACATACCAACAGTGACCAAACTGAGAATCAAATCAAGAACTCAACTCCTTTTACAATAACAGCAAAAAATAAAATGAAATAAAATACTTAGGAATATACCTAACCAAGAAGGCAAAATACCTCCACAAGGAAAACTACAAAACACTGCTGAAAGAAATTATGGATGACATAAACAAATGGAAACACATCTCATGCTCATGGATGGGTAGAATCAATATTGAAAAAATGACCATACTGCCAAAAGCAATCTACAAATTCCACACAGTCCCCATCAAAATACCATCATCATTCTTCACAGAGTTAGAAAAAAATGATTTGGAAATTCATATGGAACCAAAAAACAGCCCACATAGCCAATGCAAGACTAAGCAAAAAGAAGAAATCTGGATACATCGCACTACCTGATTTCAAACTATACTACAGGGCCATAGTCACCAAACAGCATGGTATTGGTGTAAAAATAGGCAAATAGACCAATGGAACAGAATAAAGAACCTAGATGGCTGGGCGTGGTGGCTCACACCTGTAATCCCAGCACTTCGGGATGCTGAGGCAGGCAGATGACGAGATCAAGAGATCGAGACCAAGTTGGGCAATATGGTGAAACCCTGTCTCTACTAAAAATACAAAAATTAACTGGGTGTGGTGGCATGTGCCTGTAGTCCCAGCTACTCGGGAAGCTGAAGCAGGAGAATAGCTTGAACCTGGGAAGTAGAGGTTGCAGTTAGCCGAGATTGCGCCACTGCACGCCAGCCTGGCACCTGGTGACAGAGCAAGACTCTGTCTCAAAAAAAAAAAAAAAAAGAATCCAGATATAACCCCAAATACTACAGCCAATTGATCTTCAACAAAACAAACAAAAACATAAAGTGGGGGAAAAGTGGGGAAAGGACACCCTTTTCAATAAATGATGCTGGGATAATTGGCTAGCCACATGTAGGAGAATGAAACTGGATCCTCATTTCTCACCTTATACCAAAACCAACTCAAGATGGATTAAGCACTTAAATCTAAGACCTAAAACTATAAAAATTCTAGAAGGTAATATTTGAAAACCCCTTCTAGCCATTGACTTAAGCAAGGATTTCATGATGAAGAAACCAAAAGCAAATGCAATATAAACAAAGATAAATAGCTGGGACTTAAGTAAATTATAGACCTTTTGCACAGCAAAAGGAACAGTTAGCAGAGTAAACAGACAACCCTATAGAGTGGGGGAAAAATCTTCACAGTCTATATATCTGACAAATGACTAATATCCAGAATCTACAATGAACTCAAACAAATCAAGAAAAAAACAAAAATCCCATTAAAAAATGAGACAAGGATATGAATGCACAATTCTCAAAAGAAGATAAAGAAATGGCCAATAAATATATGAAAAAATGCTCAACATCACTAACAATCAGGGAAATTAATATCAAAATCACAATACAATACCACCTCCCTCCTGCAAGAATGGCCACAATAAAAACATTAAAAAACAGTAGATGTTGGCATGGATGTGGTAATCAAGGAACACTTCTACACTGCCAACAGCAATGTAAACTATTACAGCCACTATGGAAAAGAGTGTGAATATTCCTTAAAGAACTAAAAGTATAACTACCCATTTGCTCCAGCAATCCCACTTCTGGGCACCTACCAAGAGGAAAAGAAGTCATTACATGAAAAAGATACTTGCACACACATATTTATAGTAGCACAATTCACAACTGAAAAATCATGGAATCAACACAAATGTCTATCAATCAAAGAGTGGATTAAAAAACTGTGAGAGATATATATATATATATATATTATATATATATCACAGTTTATAATTTATATTATATATATCTATATATAACACAGTTTATAATATATATGTGTATATATAAACACACACACATT